ACTCCACAAAAGGCCAGCAAATCACACAAAGAAGCAAGGAAGAATTTCCCTACAGATTAGGGAGGGAGCACGGTCCCGTGCACACCTTCATTTCAGGTGGCTAGGCTCCGCAACTGTGACACAATACATTTTTATTGTTTCAAGCTTGTGGTACTTTGCTATGTCAATGCTAGCAAACTACTACACAAATCAACTCTAATAGGAATATATTTGTTTCTGAAATTTGAAAGAAAATGCAAGAAGGTTCTATATAACCTGAACATGTGGTTATATAATACCCATTACTAATCTTATCATTTATATTGACAAATGGGATCTTCTCTGTTCTGATATGGATTTCACAATTCATTTATATAATCAACAGATACAGTTAGAAATCTTCAAAGTAGGGGGAGACACAATAATAAGAAATTTCCACCACCTCAACAAGCTGAATATGAATGGAAATGACCACTGTGCTTCAGTATTAACTTTAGACAGATATTCTTTAGGCTGCAGACGTATTTATTTATTCCTAGTTTATTTATAAGTCATGTTCTCTAAAGCAGATGTTGATTAAAAGCCTTCTTGGCATGTCTACCAAGATGACCATATACTTTTCCTTTTCTTACCTTTTGAATTAAAAGAACATAGTAATTGAATGGTAATACTGAATACCATTAACATAAAATAAATGTCATCTTATAGCGGTGTTTTAATGTTTAATATGCTGCTGCATCTATAATATTAAGTTTAAGACATGTCAAAATTCATATGAATAAGTCTAATTGGCCTATTGTGGCCCTGTTGTTTTGCTCTTGCTTGTTTGCTTTTTGTTTTGTTTTGAGTTTTTCTTGGGGATGGGGGGGTGCTGGGGGTTGTTATTATTCTCTTCTGGCCTTTGGTGTTACAAATAGTCAGACCTTTTGCTATCAGTTTCATCTAATTTCACAGAAGTGAAAAGCATAACTAGGTGCAAGAAATAACATTCCATCAAAGATTTGACAGAACTCATGAAATGCCGTAACTTGGTTTTTAGTGGAAAAAAATTCTTTAATGTGGTTTTCAAATTTGTCCAGACTACTCTCTGTAAACATGGACTGAAGCGATATCAAAACAGTTTATAAATAATGAATTTAGACAATTAAAAAGGCTTTTTGCAGCAGTTTCTTCTTGAAAGCAACTCACAGCTCACTTGTACAAAGCCACTGCTAATCTTTCCCAAAAAATTCTATAGAATGAGTTCAGTAAACTCAGTAACTGACATAAACAAAAAAACTTATACTCTCTATTAGATTTAATTCCAAGTATTTTATTTCTACATGTAAAGGCTATTTAAATTAATTTCCCCCTAAATTTGAAAGCTATATATTGAGGGTGTTTTCCCCACACTGTTTATTCTGCAGAAATACGGGTGTATGGATAGAGTTAAAGCATCGTAAGTCAAATTCTGGCTCCTGTATTACTTGTGTGACCTTAGACACATTGCCTCTCATTTAATTTTCTTCATTTTGCAGGCTTCATTTGGAGACAAACTGTGAAAACATTTTTAAAGAACTAAGAAGAGTACTTAGTACATGTAATTAATTCAATAGTACTCCATCATTTTATAAACAGGAAGTATTATCATTTATATGCATCTTTAATATATAATTTGATATCAATCCTGCAAAACACTGTCCTCAAAGCTTAAAAATCTTAGAAGGCAATGGTGCCTAACTTCAATTATAACATATCATTTATAATATTGCTTACTTAGCATTTTTTCCAAATGATTTTTCTCTCTCATCACATAGAACACTGTTGCTACTTAAATGTGGTCATATTTTTAAAAAATTTAAACATAAGAATAAACATACAGGAATTAATTTAAGGATCAATTAAATTAATCTGATTTTCTAGAATCATCCCATGGCTGGCCAGTGGTGGTGTACCTCACTTTAGTAATTATTGTTTTGAGTTACATAATGATATGTATCTCCTGATTATTCCCCTAATAACAATTTCTAACAATATGAAGATTTTTAATACTTTACAAAGAAGTAGTTTTATGAACACTGAATGAGTTCAAAAAATCTAGGTTAATGATTACAAGTTAAGTAGAGGATCTAACAGAACTTTATAATTTCCCACAGCTTCTGAAATTCATTAGTGAATATGAGTATTTCATGCAACTAATATATGGTCATTAGTTTTAGGCTCCGGTCCTAAAACATCTTTAAGAGACACAACTATAACTGATGATATGAAAAAGTAATTAAAACCTGGGGCTATCACAAAGGAGCATCACCAGGTTAAATGTGTTTACTGGTTAAAACTGAGCAAAGCAAATTCATTTTCTTTCAAGATTTGAAATAGAACAGGGAGAAGTTTCTATACATCAGAGAGAATTCTGTAATAAAAATAGTACATACATCTTAAAAGAAAAAATTTTTTTCAAATGTTCTCTAAACTGAGAAAACATTTTTCCCTGCCTATGTAAATAAATAGAAAAGAAAAAGTTTCTTCCTAGGACATATGATACTACATATATTTATGATACTATCAGTTGCAAAAGATCTTAGCGTGTTTGATTGATATTTGATTTAAAATAATTGAAAACTTCCCTATTTTGAAATATTTTATTGAGTATTAGATTTCTGTCAACCACACGGGTTATATAATCTAATACACTGAAATCATTACCAAAATTTCTTGGGAAATTCAAGGTATTCCCTTTGAGTTAACTGTTAAATGTAGCTAAAAAACCTGTCATATTAGTGAAAATATTTTGGAGCTATCTATGGCATTTATGACATATCTAATTTTCCCACAATTAGTGAAAAAAAACCTGAAAAACCCTGATCATGTAAACAATCATTTCTCCAGCAAGGATTTTTCATTACATTTGGGGACATACATGTATGGTTTCAGAGTTTATATACACATCCAGATGGAGAGTTTCATATTTAGATTATATGTAAATTGAATTTGCCTAATATAATAAATTCCTTTTCACAGAAAAGAATAGGATTGGATAGACACATTGTTTTTTTCCTTCAACCCTTGCCCAACAGGTGTCAATAAGTGGTAGATAACTGTGGATGAGAGAGAGAAAACCAGATTCAACAAAGAGGTCCTGGTTCTTCAGTTTATTTTCTCCTCCAAAACATATGAAGGATGAGAACCAGCAGAAAACTCACATCCCATATTGCAAGGCAAGAGACCTCTCTGACAGCATTACATTGAGATACACACACACAAAAGGAGCATTTCTGTAAATTTTTGAAACTAATAAGGTTTTTCTCATGAAATAAAAATTCTATTAACCAATAGTATAGTAATATTACATTTAGATGAAAAGGGCATGTGGGAAAAGACTTTGTAGGGGTATGTATAATAGATATATTTATTCAAGTAAAAAGAAGATGTAAACAAATTATTTCAGGGAAAAGGATGGTAATATATTTGATGAAGCAAGAAACACAACTGAGACTATCAGGAGTTGTGTCAACTGGAAAGGATGCGCTCCACCTGAAGGCACTCCAAGTGAAAAACAGAAAATTACATCTGTGCAGATTGACACAAAACACACACAGACCTAATTTAGACCACAGACCATGCGAGTGAGACTCCAGTGTTAAAGTGTAGGTCGTCAAAAATAAGGTAAGTATATAAATGGGACGTTATACTGAGCTTACGCTGTCTGTTATACATTTAAAATTTTATTGTTTATTTTTATTTTATTTTTTATCTGTGCTTTCAGATTTAGGCAGTACAAAAGATTTAGATGTAGCCAGGGCATAAACACATACTAAAATTAAAGGTGACAGATTAGTTTGATGCTGTCGACATTACACGGCTTTCATTAAACGCAAGGAGTAGACCTCTTTTTCTTGCCTGGTCCCCTGCTGCAGGGAACTGGTCCTCCATTCCATTCCATTCCATTCCAACTTTAGTGACACTGTCAACAGAGGTAACTTGCCACACTGCCCAGTGTTTCAGCCAGGAACGGACACACGACCCCAGAAGGATCAATCAAGACCTTTTCCCAGAATCAACAGTCACCAAGACAATTTCTTCTGAGATCGAGGAGTCAGGATGCTACATGCGAAAAGGTGCAGGAATCATCTCGTCCATTGAGACAGACAGAGTTACACAGAGAATGAAGTGAACCCAGAGCAAACCAGAGACACAAACTGGAGACTAATTCTTACAACACAATAAAGCACCTGGATCTAATTGTACCGCAGCCAGTTAAAACCAGGAATTTTCAATTATGGTAGTTAACAAAATCACTTTTGTGTTTAAGCAAGTTTAGACTAGGTTTTTATTACTTACAAACAAGAGCATCATAAACATGAGACAAAAAAATGGATTTCGGTTCATTTGCATTTACCCACTCACATCTCACTGTACCCACTAGGGATTTTCCATTCAAAGAATGAAACTAATTTTTCCCCTAGGGATTTTTCTAATCCAGTGTACACAAATATTCTAAGTCATCCAATTATCCCAACCTAATTATTAGTGCCTTTGGAGAGGGGGCAAAAAAAAAAAAAAAAAAAAGAGCCATTATCTTATTCACTAACTCCCCAGATTTAATACATGTTCTGCATATAATTTAACACAAGCAATTTTTAATCAAGGACAAAATATATAATTGTAAGTAATCAAGATATCAATTATATAAAGTATCAAATATAGGTTTATTTTATGAACTCATCTAAGTATTAATGGAATGAATTTAAAAACAAAACAAAACAACCCTAAAAGCATTTAAACCATGTTTTGTTATATGGTATTGTACCTCAAAAGAAAAAAATTCAGCCATGCCACATCAATACACATGAATATCGATGAGGTGGCCCATAACAAAGACATCACAAATACCAGCCACGTAGGTCTCTGAGGCATGATTAATGAAACAACTATTTCAAAAAACAGCTAACACCAACTCCATTTGGAGCAGTTAAATCAACAGTCCCTCTCACTGTGGGTTTCAAAGAGGAACCAAACCAGAGGAAGCAATGCATACTCACAAATTATAAAGCATGTCAGCCATGTTGCTTCGGTAGTACAAAGCATTTCTATAGGCGCTTTCAGCTTCAGAAATTTTGCTCTGACTCTTCAGAACATTTCCAAGGTTACCCCATGCTGCCAAGAAGAGAAAGAAGTATTCAGGCTGAATATCAATCCAATTATACGTGACATAGCATCAGGCCATCAGGAAGTACCACAGGGAGAGAAAACCTTCATAAAACATTTTTAGGATGAAAAATTTATTTCCTTTATGCTCTAACATTTCATCAAACCAGGAGATTAAATACAACCCAAGTCTTAAAAAAATTAATGTAATTATTATGTCTCAAAGCTGATACATATACATAGTTCATCATAAGGCCAAGAGCAATGTTATCTTAAGATCACCTACAAAGACTTCATGGTCTTTCAATTCCAGTAGGGGTCTTCATGGCCTGAAATCACTGTATACTTACTGAACCAGAAACTATAAGAAATTACCTTAAAATAGACAAAGATTTCATTGAAATGTTCTAAAACTGGTAAATGACATAGAAGAACTGGGATGAAAAGCAAGATAACTAAACAAGATCAAAACTATAAAGAGGCTTAATAGGCATCAGAACACATCAGTGAAACATGCTACTGAAAAGAGTTAAGCATATATGGTTTATTCAGACATAATGTTCTTTATACTTTTCCTGCTAACAACAAATGCATGAGTGTGAAAATCAGTATCCCAGTAGATGTCCACACATAATCCTGTTTAAAAAAATCTGTATTTTGTGTGCCCTTTTTTCCACCCCAAATAAACACGATTTTTCAACATTAAAAAGAATAAAAGTCACAACATTAACAGCTGCCCCAGGCTAATTTAGATAGAAATAACTTACAAATAGGGAAATGGGTTTGATCTCTGAAAGCATAACTATGCCTCAGACTTGGATGCTTCTCTTGCCTTTTTTCCTTTGCGCAGAGAAAGAAATGGGGTATCAAGTCCTAAAACCAGCATCCCTCCCAGCCAGAAGATGGGGGTGAAAAAGTTATGTGTCAAGATATATTTATTTGGGTCATTACTGACTCTACCTGAAGAATAAAAGGAGTTTTAAAGTATCAATTTTTTAACAAATAAAAATGTGTAGAATCTTTCAAGGCCAGATGTGCCTATGCACCCTATAATTTAACATTCTGTGCCTCAGCTTACTCATCTGTAAAACAGGAAATATAATTAGAATGTCATGGGCTTTGTGATGAATATTAAATTAATTAATATATGTAGAATGTTTAAGACAGTGCCTGACACATGGCAAATAGTCAATAAATATTTGCCATTATCATTAATATTGTGGTTGATGCTTTTTGCAATTTACAGTGTCAAGCATTAATTACAGAAATGTCAAATATTACACACTGAATGCCCTTACATACACAAAATAATGTAAATTTTAACACCTTCTTTTGCTGCTGATGGAAAGAGAAAAAGTACTGAACTTATAGTTGTCCAGGACCTAATAATGCTACGTCAGCCAAATTCTCAACACAGTTCTGTACATAGATATTATGCCCACTCTGCAGATGAGGAAACAGACTCAAAAAAAACACTAAAAACTTGTCAAGGTAATGGAGTATTAATTAGAGAAGAGATTTCAAGCCAAGGCTGACTGCTTCCAAACTTTTTCCACCTTCCACCTCATATTTTCATACCACAGTTCGCCTTTTACTAAAAAACATTCACACACTATGATTTAGGCCTTGGTATTATGAGTCCATAGAAAATTGAATCCTTAACTTGAAAAATAAAAGAGTTACTTTAAATTATTGTCAAGTTCAAATACCAAATGGAAATAAGAAATATAAAGTAGGGAAAACAAATAGTAAAATAAATTTATAATTATCTTCAAAATTAATAGGTGTAACACCATGTTTATTTTATATGTAACCCCCTCCCAAACTGATAATGTAGGCCTCTGTGGAAACTTCTACAACCCAGGCTATTTTTCAACCCACCTCACCTCCCCCAAAGTTTTGATCTGATGTGATGTTAGTAAATGAAAATATATTTACATTGGAATTGCTCCAGAGAAACGCACCCAAGTATTATTTAAGCACCAGGAAAACATCAGTATGATGTTATCTCATCTAAACCATAGTCTTAGACTATAGATGGTCAAAAAAACATTAAAGCAAGGAATTTACCTTCATCATTTTAAGCCTTATTTCCAGAGAAACACATTGATTTTTTTTTTTACATACTTATATCTCAAATAAACAAGCATTTCTCTCGTTCATAGTCAACAGATATATAGTTATGTCTAGTATATATGTTCACTCATTTGGCTTGTTGTTCATTATTTATTCATAAATGCATTGTTCACTTTCTAAACCAATATTTGTTAAGTACCGATTTTGTACCAGGTGCAGTACCTAGGGAACTAGGGGCTGGTCACTTTGAAAGGTACAGACATATAAGCTCCCATACACTCAGAATTTAACTGGTGAAGTGGTAAATTAAGAGAAGGAGGACTGCACCATAGGATAAATGAATTAACTTCAGATACTGATAAGTGCTGTAAATAACATAAAACAAAGTAAGACCAAGTGCAGAGGCTAATTTAGAAAGAGATAACTTACAAATAGGGAAATGGGTCTGGCCTCTAAGAAGGATAAGGAGCCACCCTTGAAAAGATTGGTGATTCCAGATAAGAGGGATTTTTAGAGCAAAGGATCTAAAGCAAGAATGAATTTGTTTACTTGCAAGAACAGAAAGGCCACCAGGTGAGTGGACGCAGGATGCAGGATGCAAGGGAAAGCAGTGATGAAGTCACAAAGATAAGCAGGGATCCTTCAGGATCTGGGAAGACATAAGTCTGAGGGTTATTTTATTTGCAATGGGCAGGGGAGGCCTTTCAGAGAGGAATTTTGTGAAAGGACTTAACATTTTTGAAAAGGTTATTCTGCCTCCTCTGCGGAGGAAGTACTCACTGCAAGGGAATGGGAGCAAGAACAGAGAGGCCAAAGGGCTGTGGGTAATGCCGAGTGCAAGATCTGGGTGCTTCCACCGGGACAGGCAGCAGAGATGGTTAATTCAAAGTGAGGGCACAATTAAGAAGCTAAATATCATTAGCAAGGTTATCTGTGGCAAAGCTACAAGGTAAAACTAACATTCTTGGGGGTTTTTTGTCCAAATAAAACCTTTCACATCTTTATGATTCAGTCACTGTCTTGGGTGACTGGGAAAAGAGGAAAATTTCCCAACTAAACATATATTTTAAAAACAATTTTAATTACTTCTGGGTGAGAGAGGAAGGGAAGGAGGACGATACGGAGGGAGGAGAAGAAAGAAGGGGGACAGCTGGGATGGGATGGAGGGAGGGAGGGACATAATCTTAACAGCATACCAGCTTGTGATCAGATTACTCTGAGACCATGATAAATGAAAAAAAGCAAGACTGCTTCATAATTTTACTAAACACAAAGAGAAAATGGTCACTGTGTGACAACCCACAAAATACCAAACATCCTCCCTCTCTTGCTATAGATGATTTTTTTATCCAGTCATAGAATGGTTCAGCATCCAATCTAAAGGACACACCTCCATCTTTAGGATTTCTCCCAAATCACGCAGCCAAAGACATACTTGGTGTAGTGGCCCCTCACTGCAAAGAGTAATTAAGCCACCTTGGTGACTACCGGTGGTGGTCTTTGATTAAAGGGCAATGATATCAAGGATTTCATTATATTCAAATGTGAAAACAATTCTCTTCCAAAATCCCTTCCTTCTTAGATAATTTTCTTCAATACAGTGTTTATAAAAATATATTTTCGGTTTTTAAAGTAGGAGCTGCCAAAACTAAGCCTAAAACTGTCACACACTTTTTTTTTTTTGCCATAAAAACTGCTGTCACTATTCCCACATTTTCAAATTTTAATGTGACTGAATTTTGCAACAATGCTACCAAAACTCAATGCTAACATAAAGAATAATTTAAAAAATATAAAAGTATCTTAAACAATATGACCTAATAGAAATCCCATTAGGAGTCAATTAAACAGTAATTCTTTTCATTAAAGCTGTTCGTTTATCATGTTCCAATGATAAAACAAAAAGTGAAAATCATTGTTGAACTGATAAACCATTTAAAATCAAGCTAATGCATAAATATGTTCCAGTTTAAAGGCAAATACATTAAAGTGGACCACAAAAAAAATCTCTTAATTGGGCTAACGCGATGATTTCACATCTATATAATTAACCTATAGAATTAATCACCGTAGTTATGGGTTTTTTTGGACAGATTTGATTGCATCAATCATATCAACTTTTTTTTTATCATGTTAGTTTTTAAATCTAGCTGGTATGAATTGTTAAATATACCTGAAAATATCCAGAGCAAAATTTGAAAGATATGGAAGAACAGTCTGAGGATCATAATGGGACAATTTAACATTATAAAGATATCAGTTCTCCCAATATTAATCTATAAAATCTATGCAATATTAATCCATATTTTAGCACCATTTATTAAGGAACAAAAATATATTCTAAACATAATGCATGAGGAAAATAAAACTGGATTTCTATATCATATTCACCATACAAAAAGGGAAACTCAAAATAGATTTTATAAGTTAAATATGAAAAGGTAAAGCTAACATAAGACTATGTTGGAGAATATTTCTCTGGAAGGGAAAGGGACTTCTTAAAACAACCTCCAAATATAACAAAAAGGTAAAAACTAATGCATTTTAGTACCTCAGAATGAAGAACTTCTATTCTCTGAAGGATATTAGGAACAAAGTTAAAAACATATAATACACTAGGTAAAGATAATTCAAATATCTAACAGATAAGGGACTGTAATTAAAAAATAAGAGGAACTCCTAAAAACAAAGCCACAACAACAAAAAATCAGTCCAATAGAAAACAATGGGCAGTCCAATAATCCAAAAAAGGATATGATCAGGAATCTATAAAAGGGAAACACAAATAAAATACCAAGCATTTTAACTAATACCCAAATTTATTAGTGACCCAGAGAAATGCAAATTATAACAAAATATACTCTATACTCAGATTGGCAAAAATTAGAAAATTGAATAAAGACAAGTACTAGGTGGGGAAGGACCCCGTGTGC